ATATTAAATTTTTATATGATTAAAAAAAATATTTCAAAAGTATGTCATGACTCATTAGCAGTAGGTTTTTCAGTAAAATCTTTAATCAATTACTTAATATTGATTTATTTAAAAATTTTAAATAAAAATAAAAAGAATTTTTTTAAAGTTTATTTAGAAATCAATTTTCTTGAGTCGTTTAATTCTTATTACTTTACTTTCAATTCATTTTAAACTTATCCTAATTGTATTTCAAATTAATTTATTTTATCAGAATAAACTTTGTACAACTTTCTTTAATTCTTGCATTTTACAAATTTTGATCACTCTTATTATTAAAATATTGAATTTTTGTATTTCTTGTTATCATCTTAAAAACCTTATTTATCTAAACTATATTTTTTTTCTATGTTTTAATTTTTTATTTAAAATTACAACATTAACAAGGGAATAGTAAATATTGATGAACCCTCCTCAACTAGAATAAAGAAGCCACATTTAAAATGCTAGTTATTCCTTTTTTAGAATTAAGATTGAATTAAATATATATAAAGAAGGTAAATAGTATATTTTTATAAAAGGACTGCACTATTTCCCTTCATTAATTGATTTATAGGTATTAAATCTCTAAATCATAAAATTACTTAATTTGATACTTTAATACCTAAATTAATATACTTGAAATTATTTTTAACCAAAAATATAACTGATATTGTTCTTCACATGTTAAATTCAAAAACTTCTTAATCCTTAAGGTTTGTTTAAATTTTGAGATTGTAAGGCAATTTTTATTCCAAAAACAGCTTATCAATTACATTAAGGTCATCCTTTTAATTCGTAGAAATTAAATGCAATCCACTGCTTTTATCTCGAATATAAACAAAAATTGTAATAAAAATAAAATCAACCAAAAAAAATTTTGCCCATAAACCTTTTTAGTTTTCCTTTGTATTATGAGTTCTTATTTTTTAAGGTTTTTAAAGAAAATATTCATGATGTATTTAAATAATTAAATATGTTTCATCTAAAATTTTGTATATAAATTGATAAATTATTTAATTTTGAAATGAAAAAAGTATAATTGCCTTTTTTAAAAAAAAATCAAAATTATATTCTATATTTTTTCTAAATGTTTTTAATTTCAACTTTTAAAATCTTGATTTACTGTTGAGCAAAATAAAAGATATTAAATTTATGATATTTATGATATTTATTTTCTAATGATATTTAATATTATTCAACTAAATCCTTTTTTAGCAATATCTTCAATATTTTGATTCCAATGAGGTTTTATTATATTTTCTGGAGAAGAATTAATGATATCTAAAAATTATCCAATTTCAGTTGGTCCTTAATCTAAAGGTGAGAATAATCCTTTG